GTCTCTCCCTTCACATTTTTTTGAGAATCTCTATTATGCCATTTAATATTCTTCCCAGAACGATTAGGCTTTTGTCAAATGATACACATAATGACACATCTTTTGAAGCAATGATGATATGAAACCTAATAAGTCCACAAGCACAGAGAATTTAGAGGTCACCTGACAAGCAACAATTATGAAGAACCACCAATTTTAGCACACACTCTGATTTCATTCTGATCTTAAAGCATGAAATACGGCTCCTTCAAAGGCAAATGACTGTTGCAGTTCCTGCTTAGTGCACGTTTTCTGACAACCCTTCACCCTCCCTGTATGTATAGAAACCGGCACCTAGTCACATAACCTGTATTTGTATCTGCCCCATCACCCGGCGATCGTAGACAATCCTGAGTGCAAGCGGTTAACCCAAGAGCAAATCATTGTCACTTTGGCCAATAATATAAAATCAGGACCAAGACATTCTAGACTTGCCTCATGTGGGAAAAGGATGTAAAATGGAGGAGCCATATTTTCCATGATATGAACTTAGGAGTAGAGAAAAGTCATTTATAAATAGAAAAAGAAAGGAAAGTTCTAGGGGTCTTCTGTTCCCTCTTTGCAGTTCCTCACTGAGTCATTCCTATCCTTAGGTGTCAAATAATGTCCCTGTATCAACATAAGCACATCCAGCTTCTTGAAGCTTTCTATGACATGCTAAAAATGTCCTGAATATTTCAACATTCAAGATAAAAATTGAAAAAATCAATATATAATTATGTTAATCCTTTTACTCTGTTACACTTGAGAGCTCATAGTCCTTGATCATCTTCATTCTATAGTCCATCACTCTGGTCTATAAGTGAATGCTGTTGATTCAGTGAACTCTCTCTGTGGGCAGAAAGTGGCCAGTACTCTGAATTCATGATTAAGACACATGCATGCCAGAGAGTGGGGAATAATCCCTATAGAGATTCATGAATTTACCACATCAATCGAGATTTTAGGTGTCCAGAGGGCTGGATATGCTGAGACATCCCCTCTAAAGCAAAGCACAAGATATTGCAATGAAGAAAAAGGACAATGCTTGGTGGTCCTCTCTGGATTGTGGTGGTAGAATATTGCGCTTTGGGGAATATTATTCTAAAGAACTTCTTGCACGATTCAAAGAACCATCAGCTTTGAGGGAGATCCAAAGCAAGAGAGCGGTCTGCTGGAGGTTCAGGCAGAAAGATCACCTGGTTCAATTTTTGTCATAACCTTGCAATGAAAGACCTCCCAGCACACACACAAATGTGATTTACTAGTGGGAGAGTGCTTATCCCTGGGATACTTATAACACAATGCACCTGATTTGTTGAGAATACCTTGTAATCTATTGATTTATGGAACTTGGCTCTCTGAAAAATGTCACATAGATGTGTAATTTTCAAAATATAAGATGAAGATATTTCATTACCACAATAACTCCCTACTGTGTAAATAATGCATGCACAAAGGCCCCTTTGGGAGCAAGGATAGTGAGTATGAATGGGCCCAACAGCGTGGGCCCTCTTCCACCCAGGCTGAGCTGTCTAACCTGTCGGCAGCAGAAACTGACAGACCTTTGATATGGTGCTGTCCTCTGAGGAGCCCAGTCAGCCACTTGTTGACAAGTTGTTTCAGTGGACTTCTATCAAGGAGAGGGAGCAAGCCCTTCTAGAATTGATACTTAACTCAGATATGAGTTTGCGTTTCCTGTGCTCAGTACCTCTGCCAACACTATCTAAACTGTCACAGAAAATTTGATTTACAAACATGGGATCCAGCCTAACATCTCTTGGACCAAGGGTCATATTATACAGATTTAACCACGGGGAAATGTTTGGAAGCCAGTGGTCCTAACATATGTCATAGATAGAATCAATAAAATTTTAGGTAGATTGGAATGGCATATAAAAGGCTCAGCTAAAAAATAAATGCCTGGAGATGACACCCTGCATAACTGAAGCAGTACCTTCCAGGATGCAGGATGCATGTATAGAACCATAGACCAATATGTAGTGCTCTCTATATAGCAGCTAAAACAGACCTAGGATTTAAAAATGAGAAGTAGGACTGTCTCTCTCACCATCATGTCACTCATTTGCCATAATTAGTGTTTTCTGTCCCCAAACAGGGACTTTGCTAGAATGGAGGATTTGATTCCTGGAGTTGGATAGCAGGGAAAGACCCCACCAGGCAACACAACATAATTTACAATAAATCTTAACTATGACATATGACTCATGCTGAGGACAAGACTGAGTTCTTCATCCTGGTGGACAAGCAGGAAAAACAGAACTAATATAACAGAGTTGGGGAAGAATAGGGTTTCTGCCACAAAATGGGGACAGGAAGAATTATGTCTGCATTTGCTCAGATACTTCTTGGTGCTTCTACAAAAAATGATTAATTGTAGCATTCACGGCCTGATAAGAGTAGGGCAGTCAAGATCTTGTATCTATCAGATGGGTGGTCTCAGTCACCCATCAGGCAACCAACTAGATCAGATGAAACACTGGCTGGAAGAAAGGGGAGATCTAGAATGGGATGGGAAGGAGAGGAGAAAGGTGTGGAAGACCAAACATGGCCTGGGGCCAGCAGTGGGTTCTATTGTTGCCTTGCCAGATAATGATTTAATAATTTTAGAGCTTGTGCCTACCACCTTGAGCCACCATTTTAAGAGTGGATGACAGAGTTCACCTAAAGAAGGCACAATCGTACTGGTTCAAGAGGTGGATCACGGCAGATATTTCTTGTATATCCATGCCCCAGGTGAATGGTTTTTGATTGGGAGTGATTTGTATCCCAGGTAAGATTGCCAAATAAAAACAATAGGACGCTGCAAAGGAAAATATAACTAAAAGAATGAGACACTGCCCTAGCTAGTTTGGCTCAGTGGATAGAGAGAGCATCAGGTGCGGACTGAAGGGTCCTAGGTTCAATTCCAGCCAAGGGCTCATGCCTGGGATGTGGGCTCAATCCCCAGTAGGAGGCGTACAGGGGGCAGCCAATCAATGATTCTCTCTTATCATTGATGTCTCTCTCTCTCTCTCTCTCTCCCTCTCCCTTTCTCTCTGAAATCAATAAAGAAATATATAAATAAATAACTAACTAAATAAATAAATAAAATGAGACACTTAACTCTCTTATGAAAAATAAGGGAAGAAGATTCTGTGTTCCCTTTTCTTAGAGCATTTCCTTTAGAAAACTTATCATTGTAAGTTCTTTCTCTTTAAAATGTATGCAATTCTTTTTAAAAGCTAAATAAGCCCTTGCTGGCTTTAAGATACAGAAATAAATTTTCCAAGGACCTTGGAATCATCTTTCTGAGAAGTAATCTTCTGGGAGATGACACCACTATTTCTAGTATCTGTGGAAGGTCATCACTTAACTTTGTTGGGCATCTACCTCCAAGTTGCAAAAAACTACTTTTGTTATAAATACTAGAGAACTTTATTTTTCTTTTGAATAGAGTCAATTAGTAAACTCAGTCAAGCAGCCCCAATACCAAGTGCATTTAGTATTCACTCTGTGTGACGGATGGTGCTATCAAGTTCTTTTACTAGTGACCATCTATCTTTAGAACATGTCTGTAATGGGCTATGTGCTTGGCCATGCAAGAGGGTGAGATTTCTTTCTGTCTTGGTAATCTGTTTCACAGATTGATGTGCTGTGTATTTTATCCTGGTTTAATGCTCATTCAATGACAAAATTATCTTCTTTCCCTTCTATTTTCATAGAGAGGTTTTATGAGTTAGGAGACTTTGTTTTTAATTACCTTTCCCCAACAAAACCCAATACCCAGTTAAATTGGAATGATACGTAAAATAATTTTTGTATAAATAATTTTAGTATATGTCCCATTTATTGCACATGTTGTTTGTTAATATAAAAATTAAAATTTAACTTGCTGAAATACCTTGAGAACATAGGCCTGTCATACTTCTCAAAAATTAACTTAAAATCTACTAATGACGGAAATATAAAATGCAAAGCTATACAACCCCTAAAAGATAACCTAGGAGAAAACAGGGAGTATGGGTATGGCAATGACCTTTTAGATGAACACTAAAGGCATGATTCATGAAAAAAAGAATTGATAAGCTAGACTGCATAAAATGAAAAACTCCTGCTTTGTGAAAGAAAATGTTAAGACAATAAGAAGACAAGCCACAGAAAGGGAGACAATATTTGCAAAAGACACATATAATAAAGAACTATTATCCAGATTATACAAAGAACTCTTACAACTCAACAATAAGAAAACAAACAACCTGATTAAAAATGGGCCAATGAGCTGAACATGCCACTCACCCAAGAAGACATGCAGGTGGTATTAAGCATATGAAGATGGTCCACACCATATGTCATCAGGGAAATGAAAATTAGAACAACAACCAGATAGCACTACACACTGGAAAAGCCAGGGCGTGGGACAGAAACAACCCCTAAGGCTGCTGAGGATATGCAGCCACAGAAGCTTACTTTCATGGCTGGTGGGAATGAAAAAGCTGCTAAACATTCTTTTCTTATAAGAGCCAGCAGTCATGTAGGCTAGTATTTACCCAAAGTAGTTAAAAACTTATGTTCACACACACACATACCAGATGGGTCTGAGGAATAGATGTGTATAGCCACTCTATTCATAATTGTCAAAACTTGAAAGTAGCCAAGATGTCCTTCAGCAGGTGAATAGATAAACTTGGCACATCTAGACAATGGAATATTATTCAGCACTAAAAAGAAGAGCTATCAAGCAATGAAAAGACATGGAGGAATCTTAAAAGTATATTACTAAGTGGAAGGAGCCGATTTGAAATCATAATCTATGATTCCAGCTATAGTATAAGACATTATGGAAAAGGAAAAAACTATAGAGAGAATGAAAAGTGGAGTGATTGCCAGGAGCTGGGGTGAGGGAAGAATGAGCAGGTAAAACACAGAGGATTTTTAGGTCAGTGAAAACACTGTGTTTGCTATCATAATGATGGATACATGTCATTATACATGTGTCTAAATCCATAGGATGTACACCACCAAGAATGACCCCTAATGTAAGCTAAGGACTTTGAAAGATAATGTTGTGTGAATGTAGGTTGATCGATGTAACAAATGTCCCACTGTGGTGGGGATGTTGCTAATGGGGGAGGTTGTACCTGTGTGTGTGTTTTGGGGGGTGGGAGGACAGTCAGGGAGAGTATGAGAAATCTCTGTAACTTGTCAATTGTGCTGTAAACCTAAATTATCTAAACATGTCTTTAGTAAAAAAAGGAAATAACATTAACCAGGTGCCATGTATTTTTATTTGCTAGATCTGGCAATGCTACTGCCCAGGGGACATCTCACAATGTCTGAAGCCATTTTTAGTTGTCAAAACAGGATGCTACTGGCATCTCGAGGGTGTAGGCCAGCCATGCCCCACAACAGAAATCATCTGGCCCAACATTTCAATTGAGTCTGGAATGAAAAACCCAAACCTAGCGGGTACCACGGAGTCTTTCTGTTTCACTCCCTCAATGCTTTCTGTGAAGCCAGAATACTACTCAGCCCCTCCCCACCCCACCCCCACCCCCGGGAAAGTTTTAACTGTGGGGAAGTTACATTGCCCCTATGAGTAACCATCTGTCAGTGGAAAAAGAGTTGAAAGAGTTGGTGGGTGTGTCACCATCTCCCATCCTTTAGTGGGACCCTTCTGAAAATATCCTAACTCATCTGCATCCCCTGGACAATTCAGCCACAGCAGCCCACAGCAGCCAATATCACATTCTTTTTTTCTGATTTATTAAATTTATTGCGGTGACATTTGTCAACATGAACATATAGGTTTCAGGTGTGAGTTTCTATGTTACAATATCTGTATATTGTATCATGTGTCCACCACTCAATGTCAAATCTTCTGTTACCATATAGTAGGACCTTCTTCTCCAGCCCACTTCCCTCTGGCAATAAGTCAGTCAGAATACCACATTCTTTATCATCTCATTCTGCCTATTCCATCATTTCTGCTTCCCCCCAAATTGCCTTTATCCACAATATTTCTCAGGCTCTGATTTCGGAGTCACTTTCTATGAGAAAGTCTCCTCCTAAGAAGATCATGTGGTGAACGTGCTTACCCTGAAGTGCTGTGCAGTTTGCTCTTTGTTGTGGAGGGGCACAGGGTAGTGGGCTGTCTGTAGGTCCTTCAGAGCTGTAGAAAGTTTGCCCTTGTCTTTGAAATTAGCAATCACATTTCCAACAGCCTTCAAAATCGTGAGCGCCTGCTCTGTAAATCGGAAGCTCTCCTGTGAAGAAAAGGCATCGCAGCCAGCCTCACTTTCACTTAGTCAAGTGGAGTTAGGTTAACAACAATTGAATTTCTGTGAATATATTAAATCTCTATTACATGGCTGATTCAATAGTTACTTATGGAGAAGTTATTTCACCAAAGCCGTTCATTGGGTGGTGGTGTCTCAGAGATTTCAAACAAGGAAGTGGCTCTTGCTGCAGTGGGAACACATAGGAAGACTACGTACCTGATATTGGAGTTAGGGGGAGTTTCTCCACAGTATTAATATCCAGACTTAGTTCTGAAGAATATCTAGGGATTAGACTGACAAAAAAAACAGCATGGGGTCTGAGAACAGATGGGCAGGGAAAGGTCCAGGAGAGAGCAATTAAGATCAAGAAAACAATATGGTTGCCCAGACAGTGTGGCTCAGTGGTTGAGCATTGGCCCATGAACCAGGAGATATGCAGGAAGCAGCTGATCAATGATTCTCTCTCATCCATGTTTCTACCTGTCTCTGCCCCTCTCTTTCTCTCTCTAAAATCAATAAAAAATATATTTTTTTAATGAAAGAAGAAGGCGAACTAGCATGGGATGCTGGCTCCTTCCTGCTATCAACTAGGAAGAAACAATAAAAGTCTGTCCCCTTTTGCTTTTTCATTAGAATCAAAGAACACTGGGGCTGGCCTCGAGCCCCAGTGATTTTATAAGATGGGGGAGTTGATAACCCAGGGAAATAAGAGGGTCACAGACCAGAATAACTAAGCACCCAGTAAGTTAAGCCACCAACGAAAGAAATGAAGCAGAAAATCCCTGCGATCTAAAACAGTTATTTTTTTTAGAGAGAGAAAAGACCAAACAAGAATTTAAAATAAGCAGGGTAAACACAATGAAGGTAATGAGGGACCTCTATTAATAAAGTGGGCTTGCTGTTCTTCCCTTGTGTCCATTGAGCAGGAGGGAGTGGCTGGTGAGAGATGGTGCAGCAAAGATTGGAGGCAACGATGGGGCAGCCTGCACAACCACTGTCCAGAGAGGCAAGAATGCATAACCTCAGCTTGACTGGGCCATGGAAATACAGCAGAAGGGAGTTGATTTGAAGCCATCTTGATGTTACCCTGACCAAGAGCTTACTCTCTGGCTGAGAAAATCCCATCTTGTTACTATGAAACTGTGCTATGTAGGAGATGGATTGGGGGAAAGGATAAAGCTGACCTTTGTAGTGGGAAGGCCCTATGCAAATCTGCCCCCCAAATGTACACATCTACATATCTAAAGAGGGTACCACTGTCTAAAACCGAGACAGGCCCTCGGGGGAGGTGCTGAATCCATTTACCTCCTCTCTTCTTTCAGAAACCAAGGAGAGGCCATGAGGAGGAGGAAGGGGAGATGAAGGAGAGGGACAGAACTTTCCATGATCCTCTCCTCCTGACTCCCAGGGACACACACTGCAGGTTCCTCAAGCCAAGGGAGAGGTATAATATCAAATTTTAAACTGTATTAAAAAGGACTGTACTGATCCTTTTACCTCCTGAAAGACCACTAATACTATGGAATCTATGTGAAATGTTTACAGATGTGAAAGAGGATTCAACAGAGCAGAGGTGAAGGTAGCTTTTAGAGAAAAGCTAAAATTATTTTATTTGCACCCCTAGAGAGTTTAGAGTGTTTATTGTACATGTCATATTCAGGAATTTCTTGCAGAATATACTCAAATTAGTTTTAAAGGGTTAAATATGGGTAAGTCAAATATAAAATAAGAACATGGTTTAGTGCAAATTCTTTGAAAATAAGACACACACACACACACGTCACAGTTGCTAAAATTCTTTACCAGCTCAAAGTTGGGCAGCACCACATCCTCATCCCCGATGACGAAATTCACCATGCTGCAGATGTGTAAGGAGTGCCCGATGGGCGAGTACGCAGTGAGGAGCAGCATATGCCTCCTAGAGAGAATGGAGAATGTTAGGACCAAGGGCTTCCTTTGTTGGAATGCTTGCCTCTGTGTGTTTCTTGCTGACAGTTTGTGCTCAAAGTTAAACATTAGTAAGCAATGAATTCTTTAACACAGATGGAATAAAGCCCTTTGAATTTTCACTGTAAAGAGCCATCAGGTATCATAGAATCTACATTTCACTGTCAGACGAAAATAGTTACACTAAGTGACAGATGTACACACTGTGGTGATACCTCTCACACACTGCAGTCACATTGGGAAAGACACCTCTCCATGTTTCCTGAACAACAATAATTCACGGTGTAGGACTCTGTAGATTTCATAGTCACTTTCTCACAAATACATACTTTCATGAACGTGGTTTATGTCTTTCCTACCAGGTTGCAGGGTCATTGAGAGCAGGTGATTCGTTTCTCTCAGTTATTGAGCAATTAGATCATGTTCAAAATACACATGCTGATAGTTGAAGCCCATTGGAGGAAAACGTGAATATAAGAAGATTCTTTATTAGTTCCCTGACCTTAGTTGTCTCGATGAATGAGCACTCAGAAAGAGAAAGATTTCTAAGAGAATCTCTCCATGCCAGAGTTTTTAAGGCAGATGTAAGAATTACTGAAGTTTTAAAATTCATTATATTTTAATAAATATTGTATGCTTGCCATAGATTACTTTAGCAGATGATTTTGTTGCTTCTGCTTTCTTATTTTTTTGGACCAGAACCATTGCTTGTCATTGATCACATAGAATTAACATGATTGATCTTGGGAAATCCAGGAAAAATATTTAATTCATCTAAAATATGAGGTAATATTTTAAATTTTATTTACCAAAATCAAAAACACTCTTTGATTATTCCTGTTTTCTTTAAAATGGAAAATGTGATGCGATTAGTCAACTTTATCTTAATGAAAAATAAAACTACAAGTAAAATGAAAAATAAACTGCAGATAAAACTATGGTTTGGCAGGGGAAATGCTCTCTTTCTCAATCTTTTTAATAAAATCATGGTTCTTACTAAGAAATATAATGAGATTTACAAGAAAACTAAAAGGATTTTTCAATAAATGAATTTTAGGAAATTCTGGATTAAATAAATTTAATCCATATGTTTTACTAAAGAAATTACTAGTCTGACAATTATGAATCTTCCAGAAGAGGTTTTTTGTACAGCATTTTTTCAATTTATTTGTTCTCAAGAACCATAATGATAGACTTGTTTGCCGGAGTTCTTGTTCCAGCATCTAGAAGGATTCAGGAATCTGGAGAAGGGCTGTGTGTAACTTAATAAAGAGTCCAAAGATGAAGAATAATTTTGAAAGGCATTTTGGGGGTCAGAGGAGCCTAGCTAAAGAAACTAAGATCTCCTTGTCTCAGTACCCCATGCTTTTATTAACACAAATTGTCCTGAGGCAAGCAGGGACACATACATCAAAGGGTCAGGTTTCATTTACAGAGTCCATTGTCAGATTGGAAGAATTTGCCTACGGCTGTTCAGGTGTTTGGCCAGTAGGAGGCAATAACATGTAGATTAAGATGCCCTGAGCTGTCTGGCAGCAAGCAATCATCCCTTTTCAGGTTTGGGGACATGCCCTTGCCACTCCAGATGATTCAGCCCTTGCTGACATGCGGGAATTGGCTCCCGGTACTTGTTCTTTATCAAATCACATTAGGGAACAATATCTGAGATTCCTTATTGTTTAATTACTTAATAACAGCTTACAAGACTTTAAAAATTCCTACTCTGAGAAAATTAAAGTCATTCCATACCCAACAGGCAGGCGAACCATAGATGCCTTGGTGTTATAAGTATAAATCTTCAGAATGACGTCACGTGGCTTCACAGATTTCCAAAAAAATGTTTCAACTATAAGTAGTCCAGGCTCTACCTGGGGGCTGTCCTTTGTAAGAGCTAGAAAAAGTGAAAAATATTAAAATTTTATTGTTAGAGTGTAGCTGGCCTTCATTTCACAACACTAATCATAATAACATGAGGAAATAGAGATGTCCTAATATTTTCGTAAAACATTAGAAATTACTCTGGGTAAATATTTATTGGAAATAATATTCAAGTGGAATCCAATCTTCCTTCCTCATAAGCATCTCCTCAGGTGAAGAAACCAGGGATGGGAACGTGAGGAACAGAGCAGGCAAGGACATTTATTGGAGTAAACCATCACTTTTATTATCTATGGCAGTAATTAGAATATGCCTCTAGATGTACTTAAAAAAAAAAGATGTCAAGATTTTCCTAAGAGGGTGGCAAAGCGAGGTCAAAATAGTCCATTGTTTATCAAAGGTTTAACTTTTGATTCTTAGCTTTGACTGGGTGTCAAAATAGCAAATAATTAACATCTATTTAATGTTAATATTATGTGCTTGCTCTTAAAATACATAAAAATACTATTTTTCATCTGTAGCTGAGGGCAAAATACATTTTAAAAAAACAATTGAGATAAAACTGATATATAACATTGTACCATTTTAAGGTGAACAGCATAATGATTTGATATATGCTATATCATGAAATGATTATCACAGTAAGTTCAGTTACCATCCATCACCGCACATCATTTTTTTTTCTTCTGATGGGGACTTTTAAGATTTACTGTCTTATTACTTTAAAATACACCATACAGTATTTTTAACTATAGTCACCTCTGGGACTTATCTTTTTACCTTATTTTCAGATAATACTCAAGCTGAGTATATAAGGGTCCCAACATGACCCAAAGCACCTCTAGACACATAGATTTTAAATGTTTGAGGACATGGTATGGCTTAGGAGCTCTTGTTTAGGTAGAACTACTAAGCCTACATCACTAAAGTTTGAAAAGTTTATTAAACAAGTATTTATTGCTCACCTGCTATATTCTTGATACCATTGAAAACATTGGTTATATCTCAGTGCAAAGGCATAGTCTCTGCCCTCGACGTTGGTAGGACTTTCAATATGAAGCACTCAAAAATATGTATTGTACTGTTAATTTTAGTTAGAGATAAATGTTTTAAGAAAACAAGCCAAATAATATTTTGTGCAAATGTGCGTGTGTGTGCAAAGGGCTGGTCTTAGTGAGAAGCAGGAACAGTCCATCCCTTAGAAGAGGAGGGAGCCCGACTAAAGCTGAGGAGAGTCCATTATGGGAGGATGAGGCAGACCATTTCTGAATTTTTTTCTAACTCTTCAGTAAAAACATCATCAGTTGAAAATAAGTAAGGATGAGAGTGGGTAGAGAACATCTGAAGGGAGAGATTTGAAGGTCTAAGATAGACATCCAGAAAAACGAGAGTGGGAGAATAAACACACTTGAGAAATGTCATCGGTGCCCCAAGGCCTTTTTGAGATCTGTGGTCCTCGATTTAAAGTGAAGCTAGCTGATATGGTTATTTTTTTTTCTTCAGTCACATTCAGCTGCTCTGATGTAACCACAGGATCGGTGCAGAGTTCCACTGTTGAGTTCACCCAATATTGTGATTTCTCCAGGAACGTCAGATGAGAGGGTTGAGGTACATGTGAGAATACTATTATAATGGTGGAGCATGGAAAATATACTGGTAATGAGAGAAATAAAGACATGAGGAGAGTAATGGAAAGAGAAAAAGTGGTAGAGTCAATGGATGTTAGTCCCAGTGAAGTCAAACAATTGTAGGAGTGAGAGTTCCCAAGAGAGTGAACTGGAGAATCAGGGGGTGGGAGGTTGGGGGAAGGGGGTTTGTAATAGAGCTTGAAATTGAGATGATGGAGATGATGCAGTTATGGGTACAATGAGTTCTAAAGTATAATCATGAAAGTAGGTGGATGAGAAAAAAAGATCTTTAGAATTGTCAAATTAAAGAAAAAACAGTTCATGTTCTTCAATATAGATTTTGAAAGAATTGAAGAACAGGGTGACTAGGTGTGCCAAGGGGGTGAACAGATGACTGTAGGAAGAGGTGTGGGTGGTAAAAATGAGCCTTGATGTTTGGGGAGCAAGACGATTACAGGAGATATACACACCATCTCTCCTATAATCGTCTTGAAGAGGAAATAAGTTCCTTCATACAGAGCCTTAAAATCTTAATATTGTATTTCCCCTGGACTGAATGAAAGTGTGCTGGGCTTTAATCTATAATTTCCTCAGAACTCTCTTACCTCCGGATTCTCCCCAGCGTACCAACACAGAAAAGCAAATGAGTAGTTCAATAGGTTTTAGACTATCCACAAAGAGATAGTAAGACACCCGCTCGTCTGAGAACTGCAAGAAATCAGAGCAAACATTGAACTTAATATTCTCCTATAAGTGCTGTATTCCC